CTCTTGCTCTCTGTAAATAAAGCAAAGCCACTTCCTCGTCCGACATTAAACAGAGCCCGACAGAGGAGGGAGGGGCGGGGAGGCTGTTGCCGTGCAGCGCTWYAAGAGCTGACCTGCGTCTGACCTCAAAGTGCACAAGCGACCAACTTCAGCGTTAGCTGCGATTTTGAAGGTGAAATCGCATTCGGTGTAAATGCAGCATTAGTGACAGAGCATAAGATGTAGCCTAACTGAAACTGTAACATTTGTGTTGCAGTTTAGTTGTTTAGACGATAACAACGATCAGAGTCCCTGACAAGGAAAATTTTTGAATTCAGGTCACAGAGTGGAACTTTTAAGGGAAACTCCCACATAGGTGTGAAAGCGCATCTGCGCAGGGCAGCTGCAGTCAACAGTTTTTCTGTGCGAGTAGATAAACAACAGTAACAACGGCAGAGTAGAGTGCTTTTGTGCCATTTACCCTTTTTCGACACGAATGAGCAAACCAACACCCACCTTGGACCAAAATGTTTGTGTGTTTAACATTTTTGTTCATGCTGACACTGCAAGCATGATGCACAATTGCTGGGGTCTGTTTCTTTATTATTGTTATTATTATTTTTTGCTCCCTCTTTTTCTGTGCACATTTTCGCCAGTCACAATTCACACCTCCTTTTACATTTTCCTCCCACTCCCGGTGAGAAAATGCACTCTCACACAGCACATATGATACTTTGGGTCAAAATGCATTGAACAATCTTTTCAAATGAGACAGTTACGATAGTTTTTCATTTTCTATCTGGCAACCCAGCCTGGTATGGAAACTACAGCAAGAACATGAATATCCATGTAAAAGCATTTTAATAATGTTGATTTGTTGATTTGCCACCATAAACATTGACAAACACTCAAACAGATGCAGCAAGTAGTCTGAATCCCTGTGCACAAACATCAAATATATTCTAAACTGATACTTTTTATCATCACTTTGTAAGTTGGATAGTATGTGATGATCTGTTTGTGTTAAAATAATCATTAGATGTTCATCTACTTTTGATTAACTTTAAAGTCAGTCAGATTTAAGATGACAACCAAAACAAACAGACCCGAGCAAGCACAAAAAATATGTGTCACTCTACCTATTTTTAAGATGTTGGGCTAAATTTGACCAGTGTCTCTGTCTCTGGTTAGACCCCTTCATCCACTTATTTTGTCTGTTCTCTATACTGCAGAATCCTGGACTCTAAATGCTGAGATGGAGAAAAACAATGCACATTTGAAATGACCTGCTACTGACGCCTGCTTCAGGTCCACTGGTACTCCCACACTACAAATGCTGAGGCCTTCTTTGGAGTCCATGCACTCACTGGAGAGCATGACTACTCCCTTAACTAAAGCAAGAAGAAGAAATTGAAGCATCCAGGTAGTGAGGGCAAAGGGCACTCTGACAAACATGATCCTTTAAGGAAAAGCTAAAGAAACGTAAAGGGGTCATCCTCCTCACCTCACCAATGAGTAGATGTCATTTGTAACTTGACGGGACTCCCTTTCATGTCTCTTTCAGGACTGGCCAAGGTGGAGGTTGCTGGGTAAAAGTTGCTTATACTGCACCCGTGGCAACAAGTTAAAGGACAGATGATGGTAATAAACGTTTATAAGTTTCTCTCAGTTATTATTTTCAGCAGATTCAGTTTAGTTAGTTTAAAGACAGTGGGATCAGGGTTGAACAAGTTGCAGTGGGAAGTAAAAAAAAAAGAAGAAAATGACTATTATGTTGTTTTCATTGTATTGCGTTGGCCTTGGCTATGCTTTTTGAGTTCACAAAGATAAATATTTTTAAAAGATCTCCACTTTAGAAAATGTTCTTTTTTTATGGTTGGGATGTGCCATTTCAGAAAATCTCGGTTTTTAAAGGATTTGAGGTACTATGGACGGGACCTCATTACATTATATTTTTCAAAAAAAAAATTTAAACTAATTAATTTTAAGGTAGCATGGGTTCATGACTTTTACAGAAAAGAGAAGGATAGTTTTGATAGCTTCCCTCAAAAGATCAATTGAGCAGCAGCCGCTTGCTTTCATGTTTGCGCCTGACTTCAGTCCGTCTGACCTTTCAGTGCCGTGCAGCCATCCTGACTCCCATCAGAGTGACCTCATATTCCCCGGTCAGAGGTTAAAGTCTTATCAGACATGTTTTTGAAAGCAGCCCATAGGGTCAAGGGCTCTGCTCGCCTCTCCGGTGACGAAAGAGGAAACAAGGGATAGGGTTCTGGCAGTAAACGAAGGCGGGAGGGGTTATCTGGTCCTCTGCGGGAACAAATCGATCTGTTTGTGTATTTGTGGGGTGAGAGAGTTCATTGGCCACAGGCCCAGCAGAAGTGCTGAGGCAGCGGCTGCAAGTGTTGTTGTAGAGGCTGCCCTTAAAATTATTGCTCATCATATATTTTGCTATATGTCATTTGCTGGATGCTGGTAAAAAAAAAAAAAGAACTAAAGAATAATAAAACTAAATTAAAAATACAGACGAGTCATTCAACCAGGAGTGGTGGTACAAAATCAAAGTGTGTTGATGCTGCCCTCTGGTGGTTTTGTATGAGGCTGCATTAGTTAATACCAGAAAAAACACACGCATGTGATGAATTAATAAGAAAAATCTACACATCATTTTTATTGCAAGAATTACACAGTATGAGTTGGGAAAATATATATAATCTGTTTGTGAAATATCCGAATGTGAGATAGTTTGCTGCAAAGCCTGAATGTATTTTTTAGCATTTTAGTTCATTTGATCACAGTCAGTTGCAAAGTAATTACTCTGCATTTTTAATCGCACTAAAAACAGACAATGTTGGTGATTTTCTACATTAACATGTGTCAAAATTGAATTCTAAAGCAAATGCTGACCTATAAAACTTTTAAATGTGTAAATATTCATGATTTTTTTTTTGCCTAATCATGATGATCAATGTATGTTTACACTTAATCCAACAAGATTTTAAAGAAGGAATTCACACATGGGAACAGTCAAGTAAACAAGCAAAACAGCAAGTACATGTTAGTACACAGTATATACAGTACATGTGCATTTATTTCGGATCCAAGATGAGAGAGTTTTAGAAAACCACGGAAACATACTATATCTGTCATGCACGATCTTCTGCAAGCTTCAAATAACGTTTCACATCTTTTGAAGTGAAGTTCTGTGAAAAGGCTTGAAGAATTTATTGCTAAATTTGTTTTAGATAAAGTAACAGCAAGGGTGTTCAGTCATATATTTGAGGAAATTAACAACTCACACACAATTTCTATCTCATTCAAACACGTTCATATTATCTACACACACACACACACACACACACACACACACACACACACACACACACACACGTCAGTCAATGCGATTTCAGTGCTGTTTTTTGGTTAATATGGCAGTCAAACATGAAACAACTGTTTTTGGATACATGGAATTTCAGAAAAACTCAACATAATCTTTCAAATTTTATAAATAAAAAAATGGGCTTAATAACACACAAATGGATACAGTAATAACCTGAGGAGAGTATGGTATATATTAAAAAGGAATGCATGGTATTTACAAAAGAGTAAATGATAACTATCTGCAACATGAGGGTGGTTCATGAGTGATGAGTGTCTGTCACCAGTGGTAAGTCCCATCCTTCTCATTAGTAGATTTAAACAAGGTAATAGGTGTGAATAAAGTGTAGTTAAATGTGTGACACTGGAAGGAAAAATAAAACTAAACAGGACGTAAAGGCAGACAATTTCAATTCAATAGCACCTGACTCCCACAAACAGCCCTTAGAAAATGAACACCAGTTAACCAGTTTCAGGGGCTTGAACTCAGTGCAGTGGTAAACTGGGCGCCATTTTTTTTTCCACACGTTGCAAACGTGTTTCAGCTCAGAACAAAAAGATAAAAAGACTCTTTGGTCTCTGTGTTTTTGGTTTGTCAAAGTTCCGTCTTTGGCTGTTCCTCTTCGTTCACACATGCCAGGCGGGGAAGTAGCACCATCAAAACAGGAAGTAAAGCATGAGTTTAAGAATGCTGGAGTTGGGGGTTAAGGGGTTTATGTCCTCTTCATGCACACTTGACAACGGCTTATGTGTGTTTGGAGATTGCCTGCTTTAAGGGTTGTTGGGATGGGTTTCCTGATTGAGAGAAAAAAAAAACAACAATAAACAACACTGCAGCCTTAATAAAATGTACAACAAAAGCAAATAAAAACTGTTCAGCTCATCTCCAAGGCATAAAAAGAACCATTTTACTGCCCCTTTTAACATTTTAACCTCAGATACCACTGGAGGGTGTAGTTATCAGTATTCATTATTTGAGACCACCTGTACATTAAGACCATGTCATCAAAGACAAACCTACCAGAGGTTGACTTTATACACTAATATTTTTGTTTTTAAATAAAACACTCCATGCTCTTAAATCTTCTTTTTCACATTTAAATCATTCAGTTGGGGTCTGTGTAAAGTGGAGCTGCAATGCTTTGGTCTGAATTCCTCCTTATTGTAATTTGGAAGACTTGTCCATCCAGCATTACAACATTGGAGCCAGAGTCTGACCCAGAGCCAGAAGAGAAGGAAGACAACAAAACTGTTTTTTGTAAGTCCAGATCTTGTTTGGCAATTCTGTCACAAGTTCTGTGACTAACAGTTCAGAAAACATCGTAGAAAATAGGGAAAATCTGAAAAGTATGACCCAAACTGAATATAAAGTTATCTATGCAACACCAGGAGAGACTAAATTCAAATTTCTTGCACTTCTTGAGACTCAAAGTACACAACAAAATGCATTTAGCGGCTAAAAACGTGGATCATGCATAATTTGTCCCCTTTAAGTCTGCGTGTGGTCTAATTTACCTAAACATATCATCGTCTTCGATGGTGGCGAGCCAGAAGCTGTAGGAGTTGGCGTAGTAGTTGCAGGTTCCTCGGCCGTGACACTCGATGAACGGAGCGCTACGGAACTCCTCCAGACAGGATCCAGGAGAGGCCAAGGCCTGGCCTGAACCCTCAGCACCTGCACTGGTATGCTGCATGGAGATACACAAAGAAAATTTCAACTAACTGTTTGCTTTTTTAAAAGATCGCTTTGCTTCAAGTGAGGAAAGTTATGCAATGGAGGGTAAATTTCAACAAGTTAAAAATGCCACTTTTTTCGCTCTGGGAGTCGTATTTAGGACCCATTCCCAAAAACCTGCCTGGTTTACTGTCATTCAGAGTCATTTAACTCACCATAACGAAGGAGTAGCCAATCCACAGAGAGTCCCAACCTTCAGGGCAAGGTGGGATCATTATGGTCTGACTGTGAACAGCTATCACCATGGCTGGAGCTTCACATACAACACACCTGCACATACACACATGGCATTAACATGTTGTTAAAACTGCCAAACCCAGCTGAAGCCCAGTAGGATATAAAGAATGGCCAACAAACCTGCTAATGAAAGGTTTGATGCTGTCCCCGGTGATAGGCGCCATGCTCATGGGCATGGGCTCGGGCGAGGTGAGCCAGTACGAATAATCATTCCGAGAGGCAAAGTTGCACACGTTGTTGATGTTGCAGAACAGGAAGGGCATAGGGCTGAACTTTTTCAAACAGCTGCCTGCCGTACCTGAAACAGAGACATCCACCAATCGTAATACAGCCTCAAAGCTTTTCCAAGTTTCTCCTCGACATTTCTGCGTGTTCCTTTTTGTTTCTCTTGTCACTGTCCTCACCTAAGTCTTGTCCATGGGAGCGTTCATTGCCTTGCACATAAAGCAAGGAGTAGCCGTCATAAATCAGCCTGGTCCCATATGGACATAATGGAATTTCCACCGCTTGGCTGTGACGAGTCACCAGGAAGCCATGCTCCATGGATGACGGGCCAGGTGGACCGACTTGACCTGGAACACCATCGGGTCCTGGGGGGCCAGGATGTCCTCTGGGTCCTAAAAGATCAATAAGTTAGAAAAATGACACTAAACTACAACCACTTTTCATTTGTGAGAATGTCTCACCTTCGGGTCCCGGTAGACCAGGCTCTCCTTTGGCTCCTGACTGACCGTTAAACCCAGGGAGACCATCATCACCTTTGGGACCTGGAATACCAGTCACACCTGGAGAAAAGACAAGCATAATTAGCTTAAAGTTATTATCATACATCTATTTTTTTATCCTTTATTTATACAGGAAGATCTCTTGAGACTCATTGTCTCATTTACAAGTGAGATCTGTTACATCCACCACAACAAAGTAACATAAAAACAATAATAATACAATTTACTTAACACTTCTAAAAAGCAATACCATACATCATCAAAAAAAGGGTTTTCCTTGACAAGTACAGGTGCTTATGGACAAATTCTCAAATCTGTTTATTAAAATCTTAAACTCCCCAAGCGTGACCAAATTGGAGAGCTTCAGGTCCTGCTGAAGCTTATTCCAGGTGTACACAGCAAAAATAGGAGTGTTAAAATTTCAGTGTTAAACTTTTGGGTGTTGATTTAACACCCCCAGTGTTATTTTAACATGTTCTGAGTAAACTGACACACAGTGTTGATTTCCTCAGTGTTGTTTCAACACTGGACAGTGTTAAATAAGCTCCTCCCACTATTAAGTCATATATGACACTTAACAGTGTTGTTATATGACACCTTGCAGTGTTGAAAGCAGTATTCTGAAAAGCCCCGCCCTCTTCCACCTCATGTCAGACAGACCAGTATTTACCCAGCATTCCTTGCTGAGAAATCTTGCAGAAAGGATGTTTTTGCATGTTTATGACCATTAAAGACGTTCATGAGAGTAAAAATTAGTTGTTCTGGTTAGTTTTCTTGTTCAGTTTGATCAAGTTATTCAACTTTAAGTTTATGTTATTGGCCATAAATCGACACCATGTGAGAGGTACTTCTTGTTGTGTGAAGAAGGTTGACTCCATTATACTTTTCTACTAACTACTGAGTTGTGTACAAAGTGTTTGATATTAAGTCTGAGTATTAAAGTGACACCTTGTGGTGTCAGTTAACCTTTTAACACCATAATTTCCTTTGTTAATAACAATAATAATAACACACTAGTGTTACTTTTAACACTTTATTTTAACACTGTTGAAATGTTAATGTGACACCCAATATTGTTGAATATTAAACACTGGTTGGTGTTAAATTTACAAAAAAAGTGGGTGTTAAAATTTAACACTTTCACAAATGTTATTTTAACGCCAGCAAGTGTGGACACATATAGACACTTTGTTGGTGTTGAAATTAACACTGGCATTTTTGCTGTGTAGGGTCCAGAAAAAGAGAAAGTTTTTTTGCCAAGCTCAGTACGCACTGAAGGAACACTGAACGTAATAAAGTCCTGAGAACGAAGACTGTGGTGGTGTTTTTTGCATGAAAAATAACACGTTAAGTACGGTGGAACCAGTTGAAGGATGGATTTATAAATGAAAGTGCACCAGTGTAAGAGTCTGCAAGTATGTAGAGAGGGCCATTTGACTAAAGAATTAGAAGGTACAACAGTGAGTGGGGGCTTTTCTACCTGTGATAAATCTAAGTGCTCCATGATAGACAGCGTCCAGCAGACGTAATGAGCTGGCAGAGGTTTTCATATACACAATATCCCCATAGTCTAAAATACTCATAAAAGTGGCAGAAACAAGATCTTTTCTAGCATTTTTGGAGGAACAACTTTTGTTTCGAAAAAAGAAGCCTAGTTTTAACTTGAGTTTTTTAAGCAGGTTTTTAATGTGGGGCTTAAAGGTTAATTTTTCATCCAAGGAGACGCCAAAATATTTATAAGATGTTACAAAGTCTATGGGCATACCCTGTGTGGTGGTGATAGAAGGGAGAAATGCAGGCACCTTCTTCTTGTTAGAAAATGACATGCCCTTAGTCCTACTTGCATTCAGTAACAGTCTAAGTTGTAATAGTTGAGACTGAAAACTGTTGAAAGAGGACTGCAAGTTCTCATAAACAAGGGCAACTGAATTTGCACGACAATAAATTACTGAATGATCAGCATAAAAACGCACAGACGCACTTGTAAAACCATGGCCCAAATTGTTAATATAGATGGTAAACAGTATAGGTCCTAAAATGGACCCTTGTGGACCATTTTGAAAAATGATAACATTTCAATCCTGTATAATATCATTATGGGATATCTGAGGAACAGTATTTGTTAGGACCGACTCTCAGCTACCACATCAAAGAAATTGAGTAAAATTTGTAAAGCAGGCTGTGTTGTAGTCATTCTTTTCCTGTTTAAGGTTGATTAGCTGTGGTAGCCATCTATAATCAGGTTGATTCTAATTTTCATCAGTTGTAGATTCACATTTTTTTCTAAGAATTTTATTAAAAGTTCTCTAGTGGTTTTAAAAAAAAAATTGCTAGCAGACAAAGAGGGTTAACTCCAGCAGTCAATGACCAAGTATCAAACAATGCATTTATATGATCTGCAGCGCTCTGCGGAAGTGATGGAGTTAATTTGCTAACACGACAAACAAACACAGTTCACATGTAGACACACACCGGTGTTCACATTACTGCCTGTTTTCTGACAGCAGAACAACAAAGCTCACCTTGCTGCCCTTTCTGCCCAGGGAACCCAGATGGCCCCTGGGGACCCGGTAATCCAGGATTTCCTGGGAACCCGATGTCTCCTTTTATTAACATCTGAGGTCCAGGGGGACCAGGAGGACCTTCATTACCTGATAAATACAATTGTATTAGAAGGTACCAAATATAATGTTATCAGTAGATGGATTTGGTATTAAAACATCAACAGTATTTTCCTCTTTTGTCACCTTTTTCTCCGGGGAAGCCTCTGTCGCCCACTTCTCCTTTGAATCCAAGGTCCCCAACAAAACCCTTGGTACCTAAACATTTTGTAAAAGAGCTTTATTTGTTATCATTTGTATAAAAACTGACAAACCCCATTTTGAATGTTGTACAAATCAAGTAAATAAGCAATGATGGATGCAATATGCAAATCAGCAAATTTACTGCTAAATAAGACAAAAAAAACAATGATCCTTTAAATAATTGTAAATATGATAAGACTTATTCTTCTCTAAAGAAAATAATATACAGTAGATACATTTTAAAAGATTTTTAGACTCAATCAATTTTGACAGAAGAGCAGATTAAATACTCTGCTGTAAGATCTGCAGGCCTGCCAGAAAATTGTCTTTAGCCAGAAAGAACATACGTGCAAACTGCAAACGAATATATACAGCCCAAGAGCTGAATTATTTGTTTCAAATATTCTAAAAGGATCTATGTGAGGGATGTGGTTGGCAAATCCAACTCAGAATAAAGAGCTGTGTAAGATACTGAGGTTTGCTTCACATCAACTTCTTGTTTTTGATTCAACTATGAATTAATTCTGCATCATATCAAAAAGTGCCTGAAGATCCTTTAAGGTTATTTGCCCAAAAAGTTTAAGATGACTCATAACACTTGTCAACAAATGACTCAGCAAGAGTAATCCAATGGTGAAAGAAAGACTAAATAATTGCCTGTTTCTGATATTTCTTAAAGTGTTATGAAAGAGGAATAAATTAATTTAAGTGCATTCAAAATATTTAAACATTTAATAGACCAGTCAAAACATTAGAGGACAATTGTGTAGTTTTTTTTAGAAAAAGATCAACCAAATAAAATAGTCATAAAAAAATTAATCGAGGGTATTCTTCAAAAACATCTTTAGCAAATCTATCTGTCAAAGACATTCAGTGAAAGACAAAATGTTTGAAGATGTGTAAAATAAAACCAATATTTCAGTGAGATGAATGAACTTAAACTTTTTTTATGACTAAAGGACATGTTGTGGACACTGTGCTAATTACAATCATATTATGAATCACACTGCAACAACTCACCTGGGAAGCCTGGGACACCCTGTAATCCTTTTTCTCCCTTCTGACCATCAATACCTGGGAGACCAGGTGGACCCTAGAACCACACACACACACACACACACACACACACACACACACACACACACACACACACACACACATACTCACACACACACACACACACACACACACACACACACATACTCAGTTTCTGCAGCTCTTACTCTCATGTATCAATAATATGTTTTGTAATTAATGTGTAAAGTAGGAAACAAAGTAAGAAAATAATCTAATAACATACAGAAAGTCCAGGAGCTCCAGGGTCTCCCTTGTGACCGGACTCTCCCTGGTAACCAGGTGGACCCGGGTCACCTGTCTCTCCTTTTGGGCCATCTCTGCCAGGCACTCCAGTAGGTCCTGGTGCTCCTGGGAATCCTGTTTTATTTTAATAGAAAATAAGCTGTAATCTGTATTTTGGCGTTTATAAACTTTGTTACATTTCTGTCAGGAAAACCTCCTGAACTTTAGAATGTATTTTCATGTCTTGTCAGCTGGTAACACAGTACCTGTTTCACCAGTTGGACCTGTCTCTCCCTTGTCTCCTTTAGGGCCTTCTTTAGAGATGCCTGGAAGACCTGGCTCTCCTGGCTCTCCTTGGGGTCCCAGCGGACCTGGAAGTCCTTTGTCTCCTTTAACACCAGGGATACCTGGCTGACCTGGCATGCCAGGTACACCTGCACTACCTTTGTCACCTGGAGAAGAAAAAAGAAAAAAGAAAAATCAGGTTAAATGTAAAATCTGACTTTCATCACCTGATCATAGAAGTTAGAGATGGACAAGTTCTCACCTTTGACGCCAAGAGTTCCAGGAGGTCCAGGCAAACCTACACCAGGTGTACCTGCAGAAAAGAGTTAGTGAAGTGAGTTCATTTTATTTCAAATGAATACAGAAACTCAGTCATGATTGCTGCATTTATAATCTTATTTTTCCCCAAAGCAAATTCTTAGCAATAGATAAATCTTACATCAACATCAAATGTATGAAAACAATTTAATTATTGGAGCACACTGCTTTAAATTGTAGTTTAATAAACGTTTTGTGTAGCTAGGGTTTCTTGAGTCATCACATGTTCACTTCAGCTTCCTTCTGAATGACAACTAACCTGGGTCTCCTCTCTCCCCAATGGATCCAGGGATGCCATCCTCTCCAGGGTCACCTTTTTCTCCACGAGCACCAGGAGGCCCCTGTAGACCGCCTTCACCTGCAGAAAAACAAATGTACTTTTGTACATTTACTGTACATTTGACTAACAAAGACATCAATTCACCTAATGTACTGCTATCAAGATAAAACAAATCATCCTGCTGTTACTGATATCAAAAGCCAAGCAGAAAGTCTTCAAAGTCCTGATTTTTTTTAAACATGGAAATTTTGGTTATTTATACTTTAGTGGAGTAATTATTTTTCAGATTACTTTTTACTTCTACCTGTTACATTTCAATTCAATTATCTGTACTTTCTACTCCTTACTTTTTAAAAATGCAAAAATTATTTCATTTCTATTT